CGTAGCCCTGACCGTGAGAGGGAAGCCTTAGGAACGCGCGACCTGAGGCGGTGGCGACCCCTCCACCCCCGGAGTGCGAGCTGGGAAGAGCTGGGAAGTGGATTCCCTTCATTCCTTTAGTTTCCCACTCCCATACCTGGGATGGGCGCCCGTATCCCTCACTTCACCCAATCCGAGAGTACAAAGTTAAAAGTAAAAGGTTCTCTAGAATAGCTCCTGTCCCCAGCGAGCTAACTCTGCATAGGTCACTGTGCTACACTTTGCCCTACTTAGCCCAAGACAGCTGTGAACGCAATAGCAATGCCACGTGTTCTCTCCCCATTCAGCTCGAGGCCATTTCTTTTTTGGAAAGTAACTCTGGCTATTACATAATGGCCCCTCAAAAAGGTGTCTCGGGAGCCACTTCCCTGAAGCTGAAGCCTTTCACCTCTAAAATCCTGAGGCTTGTCCTCGGGTTTGGTCTCAAATGTTGCCGGCTTTACTGTGGTTCTGGCACTTTAGCATTAGACAGCAAGGTAAAGAACTACCTTCGCCTGTTTTCTGGAGTCTAGTCTAGTTCCTTCTTTGACACAGCATATATTATCAGTCCTAGTTAATTCTTGTTAGCGGCATCAATCCAGCATTTATTGCAACACTCTTGAGAGTTCTTTCTAACGACTTTGTATTTTTTTTTTTTTAAGAGACGGGATCTCGCTATGTTGCCCAGGCTGGAGTGCAGTGGCTATTCACAGGCACAGGCCCACTACTGATCAGAAGGGGAGTTTTGACCTGCTCTGATTCTAACCTCCTTAGGCAACCTGGTGGTCCCTCGCTCCCGGGAGGTCACCATATTGATGCTAAACTTAATGCAGACACCCAATCGGCATAGCACACTACAAACCCAAAACTCTTGGGCTCAAGCGATCCTCCTACCTCAGCCTCCCAAGTAACTCGGACTACAGCCAGGCGCCACCACACCCGGCACAACTTTGTATTTTTAAAACTCTTTAGATTTGGCCGGGTGCGGTGGCTCACGCCTGTAATCTTAGCACTTTGGGAGACCAAGGCGAGCAGATCACGAGGTTGGGAGTTCGAGACCAGCTTGGCCAACATGGTGAAAACCCATGTCTACTAAAAATACAAAAATTAGCAGGGCGTGATGGCGGGCGCCTGTAATTGTAGCTACTTGGGAGGCTGAGGTGGGAGAATTGCTTGAACCCAGGAGGCAGAGGTTGCAGTGATCCGAAATTGTGCCACTGCACTCTGGCCTGGGCAACAGAAAAAGACTCCGTCAAAAAAAGAACACCTCTTTAGACCATAAGAAAGGCAAATCCAAGGCATTGTTGATGATACAATATTGGGATTTTATTTTTTGAGAGGGAGTCTTGCTCTGTTACCCATGCTGGAGTACAGCAGCCGGATATCAGCTCAGGCAACCTCCTTCTCACAGGTTCAAGCGATTCTCACGCCTCAGCCTCCCACGTAGTTGAGATCACAGGCATGCACCATTGCATCTGGCTAATTTTTGTATTTTTAGTAGAGATGGGGTTTCGCCATGTTGGCCAGAGTGGTCTGGAACTCCTAACCTCAAATGATCCTCCTGCCTCAACCTCCCGAAGTGCTGGGATTACAGGCATGAGCCACGGTGCCCATCCTGATACTGGTATTTTCTGTCTGTAAATCATGTTTCTTTAAGATGAAGTCAGATTTCATTTTTCTGTTGCATATTTTTCTTTGATTTTAGGACTTCCTGATTTCCTCCACTTCACAAATTAGGCATTTTTATTTTCCTTTCAGCTGTCTAATAACTTGTAAACAGTGGTGTCTCTTAGCTAAACAGTGCTAAATGGGGGAAAAAAAAATCAGTCTTCCACCATCCAACCAAGCAGACTATCCTCTCCTGGGATACTAGCCTGATTGCCAAGCTCTTTCTTAGGTGGACAAACACTAATAGAGGTATAATCACTATCCCAAAGTTGAGAGAGAAAGATTCCACTGGTCCAGTTTTCCTTGGGATCACTCAAAGTATTTCTTGGAAAGAACATTTAATAGAACATAAGGTTTAAAGTGCCAGCTACTTCTGAAAAGTATCCAGAGTAAAATCTAGGCTAAAACAGCGAGATATCCAGACAACCCAAAGTTCGAATTACTTTAATATGTTTATCGATTAATACCTTAGAGGTTTTTTGTTTTGTTTTTGTTGGTGGCTTTTTGTTTTGGTGACAGAGTCTCCCTGTGTCATCCAGGCTGGAGTGCAGTGGTGTGATCTTGGCTCACTGCAACCTGGGCTCAAGTGACTCTCCTTCCTCAGCCTCCTGAGTAGCTGGGATTATAGGCATGCATCACCACACACAGCTAATTTTTTTATTTTTAGTAGAGACAGGGTTTCGTCATGTTGGCCAGGCTGGTCTCGAACTCCTGAGCTCAGGTGATCCACCTGCTTTGGTCTCCTGAAGTGCTGGAATTACTGGCATGAGCCACCACACCTGGCCTGTTTTGTTTTTCTTTTTTCTTTTTTTTTTTTGAGGAGGAGTTTCGCTCTTGTTACCCAGGCTCGAGTGCAATGGCGCGATCTCAGCTCACTGCAACCTCCGCCTCCTGGGTTCAGGCAATTCTCCTGCCTCGGCCTCCTCAGTAGCTGGGATTACAGGCACACGCCACCATGCCCAGCTAATTTTTTGTATTTTTAGTAGAGACGGGGTTTCACCATGTTGACCAGGATGGTCTCGATCTCTTCACCTCGCAATCCACCCGCCTCAACCTCCCAAAGTGCTGGGATTACAGGCGTGAGCCACCGCGCCTGGCTTGTTTTTCTTTTTTGAGACAGAGTCTGGCTCTGTCATCCAGGCTGGAGTGCAGTGGAGCTATCTCAGCTGACTGCAACCTCCCACTTCCATTCTCAAGCAATCCTCTGGCCATTATGTAATAGCCAGAGTTACTTTCCAGAAAAAAGAATGGCCTCGACCTCAGCTTTGTGAGTAGCTAGGACTACAGGTGTGTGCCACCATGGTTTGCTAATTTTTAAAAATTTTTGTTTAGATGAGGTCTCACTATATATTGCCCAGGCTGGTTTCGAACTGCTAGGTTAAAGCAATCCTCTTACCTCAGTCTTCCAAAGTGCTAGGATTACAGGCATGAGCCACTGCACCTGGCCCTTTATAGTTCTTCTAGTGTAGCTTATCTACACTTCTTCAAATTGTCTTCACTTGCATTTTCTCACACCTATAGATGGCAAACCACTGTGTCATTTTTAGTTCAACTCACTAGTAAACATGCAAACAAGAACAAAATGCTGGCTGGGGTTTGTTTAGAAGCAATCAGAGAGGAATGTCCTGCCTTTCAGCAACAAACAAACCAACAACCTTGTTATGTATGCTTGTTTTTGTTGAGACAGGGGTTCATTCTTGTCACCCAGGCTGGAGTGCAGTGGCACAACCTAGGATCACTGCAACCTCTGCCTCCTGGGTTCAAGCAATTCTTCTGCCTCAGCCTCTGGAGTAGCTGGGATTAAAGGTTCCAGCCACCACGCCTGGCTAATTTTTGTATTTTTAGCAGAGATGGGGTTTTACCACGTTGGCCATGCTGGTCTTGAACTCCTGACCTCAAGTGATCTGCCCCTCTCAGCCTCCAAAAGTGCTGGGATTATAAGCATGAACCACCCCACTCGACTTTTTTTTTTTTTTTTTTGAGATGGAGGCTTGCTTTGTCGCCCAGGCTGGCTATGCAGTGGTGCGATCGCAGCTCATTGCAACCTCCACCTCCCAGGTTCAAACAATTCTCGTACCTCAGCCTCCTGAGTAGCTGGGACCACAGGTGCATGCCACCACACCCAGCTAATTTTTGTATTTTTAGTAGAGATGGGGTTTCACCGTGTTCATCAGGCTGGTCTTGAACTCCTGATCTCAAGTGATCCACCCATCTAAGCCTCCCAAAATGCTGGGATCACAGACATGAGCCACCACACCTGGCTGAGACCCCCATCTCTTAAAAAAGAAAAAACAAAATCCTTTTTGAGACACAGTGTCGTTCTGTCACCCAGGATGGAGTGCAGTGATGCAATCTCAGCTTACTGCAATCTCCATCTCTCAGGGTCAAGCGACTCTTGGCCTCCTGAGTGGCTGGGGTTACAGGTGTGGTCACCACGCACTGCGCCTGGGCCAAAAATTCCATTCTTCACCCTGATTTACAAAAGCCCTACATTATCTGGTCCTTGCTGCCCGCTCCAGCCTGTTTTACAGTCTCCCTTAGTTCACTATGCTTCAACCACATTGGATTTTCTCTTCACCAAACTCATCAAGCTTGTTCCTTTATTAGGGTTTTGCAGGGTTTTTTTCACCAGGAAGGTTTTGCCCCAGACTTCACACAGCCATTCAAGTCTTAGCCCAAAATGTGTGCTCAGGAAGGGCATTTCCTAACCACTCAATCTAAAGTAGCCTCCATTCACTCTGTCTCATATCCCCCAAATTGAAGCCTCTGTAGAGCACTTGCCTTTTTAATTCTATAATGTAAGCTCCATAAAACTTTTTTCCTGACAAACAGTAGGTGCTCAGCAAATATTTATGGAAAGAAGGAATGGATGGATAGCATCAGATACTTACTAAGTAATCCAAGTCTGAACCAGGGACACCAAACAATTATTTGCAAGAGATCAAAAAGAATGGGCTTTCCCAGCTTCGTACCACCTGAAAGCTCAAGTTACACTTTGACTTAGGGCCTAGTTTTAATCAAATAGACAAGAAGGATAGCTGTACTGGAGAGAAAATGAGCTATTTCTGGAAAATAATTAGATATGAAATCTTATTCCAAGATTATCAACAGCCTCTAACTCCCCACGGTAAATCCAGCACTGACAGCAGATTTACCATGTACCTAAGTGCCAAGGCAAGGGCAACTATCATAAGAACTCACTTGGCTCACAGGTAGGTTTCTTGGTTTTGCCCTCCTCTAAGCATTTTAGCAATAAATCATTTCAACAATGTTTCTATAGTGCTTAGGGGGAAAAAATTAATTACACCAACTTCTATGATATGGCAAAAATATTTATTAATTTTTCTAAGTTTGAACTTTATCGGAAAGAGTCCCTCTAATTCACACTTTCATTTTATATAAATGAGTAAGTACCATATGTGGAATAGAAAGCAGTGATGTTTAAAAACCACATAGTAACACAGTAAAGAAATGTAATTCTCCAGGGTCTTGAAGAATTCAAAGTGGTATCTGAGGTGATCTAAGAAACCAATTACAGTCTCACGGTTTTCCTTTTGGTTCAAGATTAGAAGAGTCAGTTTACCACTACCTGTTTTTAGAGGTAGAATATATACTTTCTACTAGTCCACAGTTTACTGGTCAGGTGGCCCCAAGAGTCTCTCAGCTCATCTGCCTTTAGGATGGCCATATCTCTAAGTCCCAGGCAGCAAGGCTTCCTGTGGATCTCTACTTCAGATCCATGAAGCGGATGTCCATGATGAGAAGGAAGTTCTTAGGCAGTGGGCGGGGGGCTGGAGACAGAACAGTAAACACCTGATGCTCCAGGTCCACACTGGTTACCACAATGAAGCCAGCTACACTTGTCTCGGACAGGTTCTCCTCCGTCCCCTCGGCAGTGCTGACACTCAGTAGGTGGTGCACCATATCTCGGCCAGGAGTGACAGGTACTAGCTTGAGCTGATTATCCTCCTGAGACATGCCCAAAGGTAAACAGGAGTCTGGGATGGTGGGTGCCCCAACTTTGTAGATTTTCACATCTGAAAATTTCACATTGAAGGCATGGGGATAGAAACAGCCTCGGAATCCATAAAAATACTCACGGATACGCTCATCTCTGCATTCCCGCCGGAAGTCCTTGGAGCGCTCCACCACACCCCCAGATTTAGGGAGCAGCACAGTGCGTACAAAGTGGGGGAGGTCCCGTTTCAGTTCATTGTACAGTCGTTCTTGATCCAGAACCACAACGACATCCACCTCAAAAGCTGAGGCTGCATGCACCAGAGCCTGGTAACCAGAGCCCTTGACCCAGCCACAGGTGTTAATGACACAGCCACTCACAGATGCCCTTCTGTTCACTTCACACCTTTGGTTGAACACATCTGCTAAACGAGATGTAATCTGCAAAAGAGAAGATCCAGGTAAGAACAAAACCACCCAAACCCATGGCTACTTTGTTCCTCTTTAGAATAAGTGCTATTAGATTTAAGAAAAATGACTTTTTTCTTTTTTTTTTTTTTTTTGAGAAGTCTCACTCTGTCGCCCAGGCTGGAGTGCAGTGGCACAATCTCAGCTCACGCAAACTCCGCCTCCTGGGTTCAAATGATTCTCCTACCTTAGCCTCCTGAGTAGCCGGGATTACAGGCGCCTGCCACCACACCCAGCTATTTTTGTATTTTTAGTAGAGATGAGGGTTCCACATGTTGGCCAGGCTGATCTCGAACTCCTGACCTCAGGTAATCCACTAGGCTCGGCCTCCCAAAGTGCTGGGATTACAGGCATGAGTCACTGCACCCAGCTTAAAAAATGACATTTTCAATGTTTGTAGTTTTGACCCCATAATATGGATTTAATTTTTATGTTGCTACTTCTGCTTCCTGTTTTACACCCTAGGTGGAAATCTAACAAATTACAAAGAATAGATCCACAGAAATGTTTAACAATCTGAGACTGACTTATATTTGGAACTGCCTTTTCTGAAATAATGCAGCAGAAACAACAGCTGAGAAAATGCAGCTTTAACTAGTAAGCTTCCCCACAGTTTCCTACACTGACAGCAACCCTTCCCTCCACCCAATCTTTCTCTGGCTCTGACCTTATTATAAAGCTTGATGTTGGTGCCAGGAGTGGTGGAACCAAAATGATACACGAGAGGAGCCTGTATAGAGAAACCCTCTTCCACATCTGCAGGCCGCTCAATGTAGAGGGCCCCCATGGTACCAGGGATGGACACGGAACCCTGGCCCACATCCAGCTCCACGTAAGTGGGACGGCGGCCCAAACGCACTGCATAGTTGAGCAGAAGGCGACACACTGTAGACTTGCCCACATCAGTGGGGCCCACTACCATCACTCGGGGGCCTCTCTCTTCTTCCTTTTCTGCTTGCCTCCGCATCTGTTCCAAGGCTGTGTGAGTGTTAAGGTAAAGCAGCATAGGAGTGTCTTTGGAGACATAAGCCACCTCAGTGCGGCCGCTCAGTTGCACAGAACAGCCATGCCAAGTGAAAACAGCCACCTTGGCGCCAGCATCAAAGGTGAATTTCTTGTTTCGGGTCAGCTCTGTGCCAAAGATCTCTGCCATGCCAGTCAACAACTCCAACTGAACTGACTGAGATGCCTCCACCTCAAAGCGAAGTTCTGTTTCTCGCTCTAGTTCGAATTTAGTGGTTGGCTTCTTATCATCATTAGCCTCTTCCCCCATCTCTTCCGTGTAGCTGCTGCACCTAGAACACAAATTAAGTATCAGACCTAATTATAAGTGAGTCCTCTGTTAAAAATCATCCAATGTGGCCAGGTGTAGTGGCTCACACCTGTATTCACAGCACTTTGGGAAGCCAAGGTGGCTGGATCACTTAAGGTCGGGAGTTCCAGACTAGCCTGGCCAACATGGTGAAACCCCATCTCTACTAAAAATTAAAAAAAAAAAATTCTTAATTAGCCAGGCATGGTGGTGGGTGCCTGTAATCCCAGCTCTTTAGGAAGCCAAGGCAGAAGAATCACTTGAACCCAGGAGGCAAAGGTTGCAGTGAGCCGAGACTGTGCCACTGCACTGCAGCCTGGGCAACAGAGCAAGACTCTCTCTCAAAAATAAATAAATAAATAAATAAATCATGCAATGGGCAGGGCACAGTGTCTCAGGCCTGTAATCCTAGCACTTTGGGAGGCTGAGTTGGGTGGATTCCTTGAGATCAGCAGTACAAGACCAGCCTGGGCAATATGGTGAAACCCCGTCTCTACAAAAAAGGCAAAAAATGGCCAGGCCTGGTGGCTCACACCTGTAATCCCAGCACTTTGGGAGGCCAAAGCGGGTGGATCACCTGAGGTCAGGAGTTCGAGACCAGGAGCTTGGCCAACATGGTGAAATCTCGTTTTTACTAAATAATAGAAAAGTTAGCCAGGCATGGTGGCAAGCACCTGTAGTCCCGGCTACTTGGGAGGCTGAGGCAGGAGAATCGCTTGAACCCAGGAGGCGGAGGTTACAGGGTTGTAGTCACCCGGTATCCCACCACTGCACTCCCGCCTGGGCAACAGAGCGGGACTCTGTCTCAAAATAATAAAAAAAAAAAAAAAAAAAAAAGGGAAACAAACCAAAAAAACGAAACCATGCAATGAATATTTCCCCTTACCTTGCTTTAATTCTCTCCATATTTCTTATCACCATCTGTCTCACTATATATTGTGTTTTCCCCCAGCCCCACCCCAGAATGTAAGACTTTACCCCCTCCATCACTCTATTGGTAAACTCCTGACTTGAAAATGTAACAGATGTCCACACTCCAGCCATCTTAGTCAACAGGAAAGGGTGTCTGCAATACGGATGCAAAGCAGAGGACATCAGGTTTGAACGCAGAAAACAGCATAAGCCTCGACTCTGCAACTACTAGTGGTATATCTTTAGAGAATCACTTAACTTCTCTGAACCTCTGAAGCTATAGACTGGAAGCACTTACACTTCCTCAAGTACAGGGTTATTGGGGTTTATAGGAATTGTGGGAGGAAAAAAAAAGCACTTCGTAAACTAGAAAACGCCAAGGAAATGATACGAATTATTTCTGATTCTGGACCGCAGCTCTAGGTTCAGCATTTGTCCCAACCTCCCCAGACACCAAAACCTCCTTAGACCCCAAGAAGGCGACAGTTGCGTTCCTGCCCTTTTTTAACTCACCAGGAGCCCAACAGGCAAACCCAGAACGTCCTGCCGTGCAGAACTTAAACCAAACTACAAGCGGTTCTTCTCCGTACCCACGCCGGAAACAAACGCAGTTCCGCACTCGCGCTGTGAAACGACACGCGATAGCGCGCTGCCCCTTGGGACGTGTAGTTTTCCGGAACAACCGGGAGCGCGGGGGCGCTCTCTCGGCCGCTCGGCCTTCCGGGAGTTGCAGTCAAAGGATTGTTTTGAATGTGACGCCAAAGGTGGGAGGGGCGGCGGCCGACTTTGTTCGTGAAGCCGGCGGGAGGGGTGAGGGGGCGTGACGGTTGCGCCCCCGCGTTGGGCGGAGACAGAGCCGGGGAGCCGGCTTCGGCAGTGAGCGTCAAGCGGCGGGATCTCGCCCCAGAGTTCCTGCTCCCCTGCAGCCCAGGACAGGGAAGGGCGGCCCGGAAGAGAGGGGCACTCACCATCTGGGTCCCGCGAAGGCCTGCTTGCCTGGACAAGCCACGAAGCACAAAGTCTTGTTTGGGCACGGGGAAACCTAGGGGTGGGGAAAGCGGAGGAAAACAGCCGGACAGAGGCTGCACGGGGCTGGCATTTCCCACCTGACACAGCGCTTGTCACATGGAAGGCATTTAAACATTTTTTTCTTTAATAAATAAGAATCCGATGATTTCTTCCAGCTGCAAGTCAGTCATTACCCAACAATCTCTCTCCCACAAAACGAGGATTTTCGTTGGAGACTCATTTGCCTCCATAAATCCCTGACGGTTACAGAAGGTCAGTCATTTACTCCGCAGCCAACAGGTTCCACCACGTCTATAATCCTCTTTTTACTAAACTAGGCTTTGGAATCTTGTATTATTTTCTATACTGCTTACATCACTGTGTGACTTTGAGCAAATTACAGGCTTCATCTCACTGAGATCGTTGTTTTCTTTTTGTTTTAGAGACAGGGCCTCGCTCTCTCGCCCAGGCTGGAGTACAGTGCGACGAACATGGCTCACTGCAGCCTCGACCTCCTGGGCTCAAGCCTGACATCGTTTTTTGTCTGCAAAGTGGGGATAACAACAGTGCCCAACCTCTTAAAGTTGTTTTGACCATTGCAGGATTGTGCCTGTAAAGTACCAACTATAATGCCTGTAATACAGAAAAAAATGCGATCTTGGCTTTTACGTTATTTTTATTTTATTTTATTTTATTATATTATTATTATTATTATTTTTTGAGACGGAGTTTCGCTCTTGTTACCCAGGCTGGAGTGCAATGGTGCGATCTCGGCTCACTGCAACCTCCACCTCCTGGGTTCAGGCAATTCTCCTGCCTCAGCCTCCTGAGTAGCTGGGATTACAGGCATGTGCCACCATGCCCAGCTAATTTTTTTTTGTATTTTTAGTAGAGACGGGGTTTCACCATGTTGACCAGGATGGTCTCGATCTCTTGACCTCGTGATCCACCCGTCTCGGCCTCCCAAAGTGATGGGATTACAGGCTTGAGCCACCGAGCCCGGCCTTTTACGTTATTTTTTATAGGCTAGGGGGAAGGGGCTATAATACCATTCATTGGTGCAATACTTAAGGGTTTTCAAACCCTTTCAGGTATCTTCTTTCACAGCCACCCTGTAAAGTCAGCTTTCTTGTATACAATTTCAGACGGGGGAGGAGACTAAGATAGGTGCAGGGATTGGCCAAACATTCAGTCATTAGTAGAGCTAGGACTCAAACCCAGAGTTTCTGAGTCTGAGTCCAGTTATAATAATAGCAAACAAAAAAAAAAAAAAAAAAGGAAAAGAATAGTAAACATTTAGGCTGGGCATGGTGGCTCACACCTGTAATCCTAGAGTGAGACTCTGTCTCACAAAAACACACACACACATTTATTATTGTTAGACCTTTTTCGGGTGTAAATTCATTTAATCATCACCAGAATCCTATGCAGTAGGTACTGCAATTGTCATCTCCACTTTACAGGTGAGTACTTTTTTCAGTCCGTCTCATGTAGTTAATTGATATTGAGGAGACTGGGAAGATTTTTCTGGTTCGCCAGGAAGATTTTCTTCTGCTGGCCCTACTTAGCGGCACTCCCCAAGCAGTGCTATCCTCACGTCACTTCTGAGTTTTCTTTGATGGTTTGCTTTAATTATTTCATTCGTTCAACATGTATGCATTAGGTTTTGTTGTTGTTGTTGTTGTTTGAGATGGAGTTTTGCTCTGTTGCCCAGCCTAGAGTGCTGTGGCACCATCTCGGCTCACTGCAATTCCGCCTCCAGGGTTCAAGCGATTCTCCTGCCTCCGCCTCCCGAGTAGCGGGATGATAGGTGTGCATCACCATGCCTGGCTAATTTTTGTATTTTTAGTAGAGACGAGGTTTCACCATATTGGCCAGGCTGACCTCAAACTCCTGACCTCAAGTGATCCACCCACCTTGGCATCCCAAAGTGCTGGGATTACAGGCGTGAGCCTCCGCATCCAGCTCTTTTTTTCACTTTTTTTTTTTTTTTTTTTTTTTTTAGATAGAGTTTCGCTCTTGCTACCCAGGCTGGAGTGCAATGGCACGATCTCGGCTCACCACAACCTCCACCTCCTGGGTTCAGGCAATTCTCCTGCCTCAGCCTCCTGAGTAGCTGGGACTACAGGCACGCGCCACCATGCCCAGCTAATTTTTTTGTATTTTTAGTAGAGACGGGGTTTCACCATGTAGACCAGGATGGTCTCGATCTCTTGACCTCATGATCCACCTGTCTTGGCCTCCCAAAGTGCTGGGATTACAAGCTTGAGCCACCGTGCCCGGCCTCAGATTTTATTTTTTAAGACATAGTTTTGCTCTTGTTGCCCGGGCTGGAGTGAAGTGGCTCAATCTCGGCTCACTACAGGCTGTGCCTCCCAGGTTCAAGCAATTCTCCAGCCTCAGCCTCCTGAGTAGCTGGGATTACAGGTGCCTGCCACCAGGCCCAGATAATTTTTGTATTTTAGTAGAGACGGGGTTTTTTCATGTTAGCTGGGCCTGTCTGGAACTCCTTACCTCAGGTGATCTGCCTGCCTCAGCCTCCCAAAGTGCTGGGATTACAGGCCTGAGCTACCGCACCCAGCCTGCTTCCAAACTTTCAATCCCAGCTGGGCCCTGTGGCTCCACCTATAATCCCAGCACATGGGGAAGCCAAGGCAGGTGGGTCACTTGAGGTCAGGAATTTGAGACTGGCCTGACCAACATGTTGAAACCCCATCTCTACTAAAAATACAAAAATTACCAGGGCGTGATGGTGCATGCTTGTAATCCCAGCTACTTGGGAGGCTGAGGCGGGAGACTCGCTTAAACCTGGGAGACGTTGCAGTGATTTGAGATCCCGCCATTGCACTCCAGCCTGGGCAACAGAGGGAGACTCCATTTCAAGAAAAAAAAAAGAGAGAGAGAGAGAACTTTCAATCTATGCCCTGAAAACTAATCATCTGCCTTTTCCCATTTCTCATTGTTCTCTTCAACAATGACTCTTCAAATTTCTACTTTTATTTCCCTTCTCTTCTGCTGCCCAGACAAGAGAGCACTTCTCTCTGCTTTCTTTACCTAGCTTTTTCTCTCAGTTTCACACCTCTGGTGCTATCCCTCAAGATACCCACGTTGTCTTTTCAGAATTTACTTTAAACCCTAGAATCTTCCGTGATTAAATGTTTAGAATTCCTTTTTATTTTCATGCTCAACCAGCAATGTCTCCCATTACCCACATTTCCCTGCCTTACATGTCAGAAGAAAAACCACCCACAAGCACTGCTTTCTACAAGTCCCTATCTTTGTCTCATTTCACTTGCTAAATGCTAGCCTCTGTTAGAAATCAGGGATTTTGTCTTAGGGGATGTGTTCTGTGTTCACATACTTTAGTAACATGCACAGGACAGCACCCCATGAGAAATGAATTCTGAGTCAAATGAAATTTAACTGGAAGCGACCAGAAAAATAGCAACAAAAGATGTCATTTCTTCATAAGACAAAAATTTGGCATGCGTCTCTTGAGATATCAGAATTTAATAATAAATCCTCCCTGAGTTTTGGGGGTCATACATTGAGAATGCTGTTTGGTTTCTTTCTTTCTTTTGTGTCATCTGGCTGGAGTGCAGTGGCACAATCTCGGCTCACTGCAACCTCAGCCTCCCAGGTTCAAGAGATTCTCCTGCCTCAGCCTCCCAAGTAGTAGTAGCTGGGACCACAGGTGCACGCCACCACACCCGGCTGATGTTTGTATTTTTAGTAGAGACGGGGTTTTACCATGTTAACCAGGATGCACCCAGCCAGTTTTTGTTTTTGTTTTTGAGGGAGTCTCTCTTTGTTGCAACCTCTGCCTCCTGGGTTCAAGTGATTCTGCTGCTTCAGCCTCCTGAGTAGCTAGGATTATAGGCACATGCCATCACACCTGGCTAATTTTTTTGTATTTTTAGTAGAGGCGGGGAGGGTTTCACCATGTTAGCCAGGCTGGTCTTGAACTCCTGACCTCAGGCAATCTGCCCGATTCAGCCTCCCAAAGTGCTGGGATTACAGTCGTAAGCCACCCAAGAACGCTGTTTGAAATGACACTACTGTTTTGAAATGACACTACTGTTTACTGCCTATCATGCGCCAGAGGCTTTTCAGGCATTTAAATGTTATCTCACTTTAGGTGGCATCTCCATGAGGTAAATATTATTAGCTTCATTTAGGAGAAGAGGAAGACTGAGGCACAAAGATTATCAGTAATTTGCCTAGTGGTTCCTGCTGAGTAATTAGCAGAGCTAAGATCCCAATTCAGTCTCTTTGAGACCAAAGCCAGACACTTGGTTCATGTCTGAAGATGCAACTCAACTGCTGTATTAATCAGGGTTCTCCAGAGGGACAGAACTAATAGGATAGATGTATATATAAATGTGAGTTATTAAGGAATATTGACTCATATGATCACAAGGTGGGGTTCCACAACAGTCCGCCTGGAAGCTGAGGAGCAAGGAAGCCAGTCTGAATCCCAAAGCCCAAGAACTTGGAGTCCGATGTTCGAGGGCAGGAAGTTTCCAGCACGGGAGAAAGATGTAGGCTCGGAGGCTAAGTCAGTCTAGTCTTTCCACGTTCTTCTCTCTGCTTTTATTCTAGCCAAGCTGGCAGTTGATTAGGTTGTGCCCATGCAAATTGAGGATGGGTCTGCCTTTCCCAGTCCATTAAAATGTTAGTCTCCTTTGGCAGTACCCTCCTAGACGCACCCTGGAACAATACAACAACCCAGTCGACAGTATTAACCAGCACAAGTCCGCCTCTTGACAACTTAAACTCATACACGTCTCCTGAAATCGTAGATAATCTTCAAATAAAGACAATAAATAAGGTCATAATTCACTTAACATAATACAGCTATCCTTCATACAACCGGAAACATACCAGTCCCCAACCCAAATACTATTACATAGAGATAACAACACTTAAATGTTGATATGAAGTCAGTAAGTCCTATCATGATAAAGGCAAAAAAGAAAGGCAATAAAATGAAGATATTTTCTTAGTACAAGTGTATATATGCACAAACATGTTCTTAACACAAGGAGGAGGAAATATTCATGACAATTACAGTCCTCGGTTCTGCAACTGGTCACACGGTCGTAGCTGGTATCGATGACTACTTCCTTTGACAACCCATTCTGTATTCCCTTTGCCTTCCGCAAGCACCTCAGCAGGTTGTGGGGTTTTTTCCTGGTAGAGTGACCCAAACCTTCATTCCTGAAGGGTCTGGATCGTTTGTAGTCCTGCCTGGATTGGGCTGTTGTAGTTTCCATTGACCTTACTCACAGGGCATGGTAATATTAAGAGACGTCCTAATGGATCTCCTGTATTCCACGCATGCTCGTGCTTCCCTCCATTGTGGAGTAGTAGACTGATTTCATCTTGATAGTCTGGGTCAGTCACTTCAACCAACACTGTAATTCCCTTACTAGCCTGTTGACTTAAAGGTAAGAAGAGCTCACAGTGTCCAGATGGCAATCTTACCTTCCAGTTTAATGGAATCGTTGTTGTGTCTCCTGGTGGCAGCATTCCTCCCTCTGGAACTAAGACCTCTAGGCCAGCAGAAAATAATGTCGTGGGAAGAACTGCTATTTTGGAAACATCTATATGCAAGGGTCTGTAGTAGGCATTGCAGTCCTGGAATGCAGAGAGTGATTTCCCGGAAGACCTGTCTTAGAAAGTTTACAGCCCAGAAGAGAACTTCATATAACGTAGGTGTCTCCATTCATGAAGCACTCACAATTTGGAGGTAGCTAATAAGAGGTTCCTGCATGCAAAATGTCACATTGGGTCTATGACTCCTTTAAGAGTATTAAAACCGAAGCTTTGAGGCTTGGTACAAGTTTGGGGGCACAGTTTGCCATCCATGACAATTAGTACATCTGTCTTTTCCCTGCTTCAGGGCTGGTGTCCAAGCTGAAATGGGAAAGTGTATCATCTTAAATGTGTGTGTGCTGCCTCCCTCTGCATCCATCTCTTGCTTCGCCAGCCTTGCCACCTCCTTTCCTCCAGCCCTGCCTCCCTCCCTGCATCCTTGCCCAGCCCTGTCCTTTTCCCAGGTTCTTCCTATCTCCTTGGCCACACTGCCTTCCTCCCTAACAACCTGCCTCTCCCCTTTCCCACCATTGAAGCCACATCCCTCTGTCCCCACTCCTCTAGCCCCGTCCCTCGAAGCCTGCCCCCTCCCTCCCTTCCTTCCGACCCGCCTCCTGTGTCTCCCAGCCCTGCTCTGACGTGGGAGGTGAGGGGGGGTGGGGGGATGGATGACTCACAGTGTTATGATGCAGTTCCACAACACACAGCCACATTCACCCACAGACCGAGGTACAGAACGAGAGACAACCTCTGCCCCCCCCAGCAGCTGGCCAGCTTTGCAGCCCCAGTCTTGAGCCCCCAACTACCCTCCCCCTACCTGCCCCCATCCCCTTCCCAATTGAAGGAGCGGAAAGAGAAGAGAGAAGAGTGAGCAGAGAGATTGAGAGATTGAGAGAGAGAGAGAGATAGACGGAGATCTCTGGAGCAGACCTCAAGGTGAGGGGGCAGCCCTTCTCCAAATGAATTTTTTTTCCTTTTGCAAATTTCCTCCTCCTGCTGCGTGTTGCTTTCTCCCCTTTGCAAAAGCATTATTCATCCACCCTTTGTCCTCCCTTCCCCCTCCCCGCTGCCTCCGCTCCTCTCTGTCGGTTCCTCCATCCCTCTCCAAGCCCTCTCCAAGCTCTGACGATTCCCGCACTTATTTCCCGGCAACTCTGTCTGCACCATCAGGCATCACTGTTTATTGTTTTGCTGCTGGTGCAGACCCCCAAAGCCCGCCCTGGGAGCTGGCGGTGCTGCTAATTATTTGGAACATACCATACTGAGAATACCAGCCTGGGGGGTGCCAAAACCTCAGAGCAGATGAGAAAATCCATTGTGAGCAGGTGTCCCCCTCCCTTCCCCATCCCCCGCCCTTCCGAGAGGCACGAGATTCGCACCTGGTTCCTCCAGCCTCCGCCTCGGTGCCTCTGCTGTCAGCTGTCAGTTGCCCCCGCCAGCCCTCCCTCTCCCCTTCCTCCCACGGTCCAGCCCCGTCTCATTTCAGGGGAACATCCTCTCCCCAGCCCTCGGCTTGCCTTTGTTTTTTCTCCAGTCATTTGCCCAACTTGCTTCTCCCTGTGATCTGAGACGGGCGAGAAAATGACCCCTACTCCCCTTTCTGTGATTTTCTGGCCTTCCGCGCAGCCTCTCCTTGGCTCGACTGGGAAGTAGGGGAGAGGGAGGGAGGCGTGACGGCCGGAGGCTGGAGGAGTCCAAGCTTGGGGACTCGCGCTGCCCCGTTCCCCATGCCCCTTGAAGAAGGTATTTCAAGGTGGTGCATGTCAGAGGGGAACCCGCAGGCAAAGTTGGAGGCAGACCTGTGAAGCAGACTGAAGGATGGTCTCCTGGCGAGGAGAGCCCGTTTGCTGCAGCTGGAGCCCAATGTCACCCCGAACTCAGCCCAAGGTGTCTTCCTGGGGCCCAGCCAGGAGGAGAGGACCCGGAACTGAAGATAGTCTCTATGGAGGTTTTGCGGAGAGACTGCCTGGCGGCCTTCAGAGAGAGAGGAACAGCTGGGTGCTTGTGGCCACTGCAGAGGACAGGGCGAGGAGAGCCTGTATGCCCTGGCTAACCGGAGCCAACGCTGCCTCTTTTCTGCTTGGTGCCCTGGCATTGCCAGAGTGCCCAGCTGGCATCTCTGAACCAGACTTAACCTAACCAGCCACAGCGGGCTGGGAAGCCCCATGGAGAAAGCAGCAGCTCACCTGCTTATCAGAGCCGACAGGGGCCACCTCCCTCCTTATCCTCTGCCTCCAGCACCCTCAGCCACTCGGAGGCTGGTGCGTGGGCAGAACGCAATCTTCCTCAAGATTCCTAATCAGAACCCAGCAATTACTTCATCTTCAGTCACCCAGAGTCACTGCTGTTTGTCCCTGCCTCGGTCGAGGAGAAGGTAGAAAGAAACATTTTCTGCCTCACACTCCAAAGCGCAGCTGTTTAAGGGCCCCCCTTCTGCCGTGGGTTGTGGCTGTTGCTCTCTCACTACCATGCAGCCCTGCCCAGCCCAGGAATCAGGCTTCTCCCACACGCTACTCGTTTCCCATTGGTTCCAGCTGTCAGACTGCCCGAAGGAAATGTATTTTCTGCCTAAGTCTTTAACCAAGGGCGAAGGCCACAAGTTAATAAAGAATAGGAGAAAGACCTAGGGGTCCAGAGGCTGGGAAGATGGCCAAGTGCTCATTCTGGGCCAGAATGAATGAACTAAGGTGTGGGAATGGGCGGCCACATGTGAGGTCTTTGGGACTTTTGGAAACATCTATAAAGTTCTAGTGAAGAGTCCCAGAGTGCAGGACCCTGACCTTGGGAGAGAGCTGAATTAGGGTTTGTATACCTGCCTGCATGCTCCCCCTCCCTCAACTTACCCCAGCCTCCCACACACAATGTATAAAGGACCCACTGTACTGTAAACGAAGCCCAAGGAAAAGAAAGACCTTCAGGCATCCCCAACTCTTAAAAGGCTCTGATCCCAAGACGCGGTGCCTACTGATGCCGGTGCGACGCAGAGCCTCACGAAGAACTGAAAAGCAAGGAGAGGCCACTGGCAGATGACGTTGCTCCCATGGCAGCGTTTATGCCCGTGGGCTGCTCTCTGTGGAAAATGGTGGAGGCTGCTTCTGCCCCTGGAGGGAAAAACACCGATTCCCTGGCTTTGGCGCCAGAAGCCTGAACTGGCTGCCAGGTTTGCCAGAGCAGAATGGGGATCCAGGGGACAGGGCGACAATGCAACTGGATGCCGAGGGGGGTTGATGGCAATGGGGGACGTAGAGGTATGGGGGAGTTGAGCCCCTTTTCCTCCAGTCCCTCAGGAGGGGTCCTCATGAGGTCACAGCTCCCCTGATGTACCTTTCCCTCTTCCCAGGTGATTTCTATTTCTATCTGGTTCTCGTCTGGGGGGGCCCTGGCCGGGCAGCCCCCCAACATTTCTCCTGCCCTGAAACACGGCTCTAGCCAACCTGCTCCGCTGCTTCACCTGCGACCGTCTCTGCGGGGGCTGCACAGCGCCAGCCCCTCCAGCCCGCCAGGGCATTGTCCTCCAGCCCGTCATGCCCAGCTGTGACCCCGGTCCGGGCCCTGCCTGCCTCCCCACCAAGACTTTCCGCAGCTACCTGCCCCGCTGTCACCGAACTTACAGCTGTGTCCACTGCCGCGCACACCTGGCCAAACACGATGAGCTTATTTCCAAGGTACGCTAAGTGGGGGCCTGCCATTCCCCTCTTCTTGAGCACCAAGCTAACCTGATAGTCACCCAGGGGTGGGGCAGCAAAGCTCTTCCTCTCTCCCTCACGCCCCTGCTGGGATTCAGGCAGTGGGGCTGAGGGCTGCTTGGTAGTCACTGTCTGTCCCGTGTCTCCACAGTCGTTCCAAGGGAGCCATGGCCGCGCCTACCTGTTTAACTCCGTGTGAGTCTACCCCTTTCCTTGTGCGTGTGCTTATGTGTGAGTGAGTAATTTCCCTCTGCAGAGAAAGGGGGGAGTCCATCAGGGGATCTTGTGCCTTCAGTCTTTGCCTCCCCTTTGGCAAAGGGGTTCAGTCTGAAGTTCTCTTATGGGGAGCCTGGGAAGCATTGAAATCCTAACACTGGAAAAAGAAGGTCCAGGTTCTAGTCTTAAAGGGGTGGATTATGGAAGGCAGGGGCTGTCCAGTTCTCTACAGATGGAAGTTCCTTTGGGCTGTCTGGGGACCGGACTGACAGGGCAACCCCACTGGGTGCTGGGTCCTTCCTGTTTCCTGAGACAGGGTCAACGTGGGCTGTGGGCCGGCTGAACAGCGCCTCTTGCTCACGGGGCTCCACTCGGTAGCTGACATTTTCTGTGAGAGCTGCAAAACCACACTGGGCTGGAAATATGTGAGTACCTCTGGAAGAGGGTCACCCTCTAAAGTGGCAGTTCCCGGGGCCCTCCAAGCCCCAGTGACCACATCAGGTCCTTGGACGGTCCAAAGAAGAAAGTAAGAACTAGTCACTGGGTTGGGCTAGTGGAGGACCCTTGAGGTGGGGACCTGTGAGGTGGTGGTGGGGCCTGGAACGACACTGCCTTGTCCTACAATCGCTGCTTTCTCCTGCCCCAGGAACAAGCTTTTGAGACGAGCCAGAAGTACAAGGAAGGGAAATACATCATTGAAATGTCACACATGGTGAAGGACAACGGCTGGGACTGAGGGGCTCAGGCAGGGTGTGCCCTTCCTCCGCATGCCCCTCCCTCCCCATGGCCCTGCCAAGCAGTCCATACCAGCATGAGTACTGCCCCACCCCTGGGGGAAACCTGGCTCCAACCAACCCCTCCCCTGCCTCCACCATATCCACTACCAGGCACCCTTTGGAACAGGGGTCTGGGGGTACCCCAGGGGTGTTAAGGCTCAGGAGTGGGCAGCAGTCAGGGAGAGACAAAACTGGGGGAAAGGGATAGTTGTGGGTCCTTCTGTTCCCAAGATCCTGAAGGTCAAGGCGAAGGCAGGGTGTAGATTCCGGCAGAAAGGATTGTGGAGGAATCCATTTTTGCCCCACCTCTTTTTGAGTGAGCAGAGGACAACCTTGGGTCATAGGGCTAGTAGACCGTGGGCCACAGAATAGCAGAGGAGAAAAGGCTTGGGTTAGAGTGAAATTTTGGTCTTAGACACCAGGAGAGACCAGAGTCTCTGAGGATGAAGTTTCCCACCCCTATTTATAGGGGAAAGGGCTCAGGGGTACAGGGAAATCTCAAATCCCAGGCCCTGGGAAATAGTACAAGAATCAAAGGGGTTTCCATTTCACTCTACTTGTTAGTTTATCTTGGCACTGAAGAGGCACTTTCGAGTATCTAACTTTTGCCATTGGGTGGGGTGAGGACAGCTGCACCCGGAATAGCCCCCACCCACATTCGGCTGCTTCCAGAGCAAGCAGTCTTTATGGGCTTTCTGAGGCCCAGTCACTGCTCCTGGGACCCAGTCCCCTGGAGGGGAGGTGGAAAATCAGTGCTACGGGGCCAGTCTTTCCCGTGGCTGCCACCAGCGAATGAAACTTTTGTATGATACATAAAGTGCTTGGGTCTATTTTTAATAAAAAGGGAAAAAGCAACTGGAGGCCACCTGTCCTCTGACTTTCTTTCCCGGTGCATGTGCCATAAGCTACCCCCGTCACACACACACACACACATCCACCCACCCACCCCACCCACTCACCCGGGCCTGTCCCTTCAGACCACAAGGGGGCAGCAGTTGCCTCGTCCATGGCAAGGCTGCCACTTGAGCCTTGACCAGGGGATAAGCCTTCAAGTGAAGTTTCGCCTAGTAAGAGGGATGGGTTTTGCGGGCTCTTCCAGCTAGAGCATCCCAAACCACTTGTGTCTGTTGGCATCCCTGACAGTAAGTCCATTTTTGCCTGGATCCAGGATTAGGCAACTGAAAGGGGCTCATGTCAGAATAAGGATTTTCTCGAGTCCCAACGGTTTTTTCAGCCTGGTTTTGTAATGTTCTGGTCAGCTCATGGATACACTTAAGGCTGAAAGGAAAACCAATCAGCCAAAGGGCTGCCCTGGCAGTTGACGGGAAGTGAAACAAAGTAGATCAAAAATTAGGCCGGGCGCAGTGGCTCACGCCTGTAATTCCAACACTTTGGGAGGCCAAGGCTGGTGGATCACCTGAGGTCAGGAGTTTCAGACCAGCTTGGCCAACATGGCAAGCTGGACATGATAGTGGGTGCCTGTAATCCCCGTCTCTACTAAATATACAAAAATTAGCTGGACAGGATAGTGGGTGCCTGTAATCCCACCTACTCTGGAGGCTGAGACAGGAGAGTCGCTTGAACCTGGGGCATGGAGGTTGCAGTGAGCTGAGATCGCACCATTGTACTCCAGTCTGGGCAACAACAGTGAAACTCCATCTCAAAAAAAAAAAAAAAAAAAGAAAGAAAGAAGAAAGCATCTCAAAATTGCAGCATCAATGCTACCTGTGAGCCAAGGGGCATTTAATTGGCAGTGATATGAAATGCCTACTGTTGTCAGGTGCCTAACAGTTACAGGGGAGACCATATACATCATAAACATCATTGTTTTGGTAAACTATATTATTTCCAAATCCATTCATTAATATTCCAAATATTTATAAAGCACCTATTACTTGCCAGACGTTGTGTGAAGTACTGGATGTTAAGCACAGGGTGAAGATGAGGCAGCTGTGGGCTGAGGCTTTCTGTCTAGTAGGAAGGGATGAAATAACCAGGCAATCCCAGTAGAAGATGATAATAAGGGCTCTGAGCAGGGATGTAGAGGAAACTTGGGAGCTCATAGGAAAGGAACTCAGCCTAGAATTGAGGAGTCAAGGAAGGCTTCACAGAATTGATGACTATGATGGCATCTGAAAGATGAGAAGTCGGGTAGGCAAAGGACAAAAGTAATGGAGGTATTTCAGAGGGAACTGTATGTGTCAAGTAACTGAAGTTTAGTTAGTTGGAGGAAATAAAAGTTTCTTGTGGGCTGAAAGCAGTGACTCACGCCTGTAGCACTTTAGGAAGCTGAGGCTGGAGCTTGCTTGAGGCCAAAGTTTGAGGCTAGCCTGGGCAACATAGCAAGATCTTGTCTGAAAGAAAAAAAAAAAAAAAAAAGCCATACCTGCACCTGTAGTCCCAGCTACTCAGGTGACTGAGCAGGAGGATCACTTGAGCTCAGGAGGCTGAGGTTGCAGTGAGCCATGATCACGCCACTGCACTCCAGCCTGGGTGACAGAGCAAAACCTTGTCTTCTTAAAAGAATGTTTCTTGACTGGGTGTGGTGGCTCACACCTGTAATCCCAGCACTTTGGGAGGCCGAGGCAGGTGGATTACCTGAGGTCAGGAGTTTGAGACCAGCCTGACCAACATGGTGAAACCCTATCTCTACTAAAAAAAAAAAAAAAAGTACAAAAACTAGCTGGCCGTGGTGGTGGGTGCCTATAATCCCAGCTACTTGGGAGGCTGAGGCAGGAGAACCGCTTGAATCTGGGAGGTGGAAGTTGCAGTGAGCTGAGATTGCACCATTGCACTCCAGCCTGGGCAAGTAAAACCAGTCCCGTCTCAAAAAAAAAAAAAAAGTTTCCTGTGGCTGGAGTATAGGCATTAAGTAGATGAAAGGAGATGAAAGGAAAGACAAGTAGGAGCCATAAACTATTTAGGGAATCTAGATTTCATCCCAATAGTACTAGGGAAATATGGAAAAATTGTTTTTTAGAATGGAGTGGCATTATCGAATGGCTATTTGTGCCCAGACAAGAGGCTCAAATAGAAATTTTAATAGACCGGAGAAAGTAAGGAACATACAGCCAGGTGCAGTGGCTCATGCCTGTAATCCCAGCACTTTGGGAGGCTGGGGGTGGATCACTTGAGGCCAAGAGTTTGAGACTAAGTTGGGCAAAAAAAATTAGCCAGGCGTGGTGGTGCACACCTGTAATCCCACCTGCTCAGTAGGCCGAGGCAGGAAAATCACTTGAACTAGGGAGGCTGAGGTTGAAGTGAGCCGAGATCGCACCACTGCACTCCAGCTTGGGTGAGAGACTGTGTCTTAAAAAAAAAAAAGTAAAAGACATAAAGCTAGCCGGGCGCGGTGGCTCAAGCCTGTAATCCCAGCACTTTGGGAGGCCAAGGTGGGTGGATCACGAGGTCAAGAGATCGAGACCATCCTGGTCAACATGGTGAAACCCCGTCTCTACTAAAAATACTAAAAATTTGCTGGGCATAGCCTGTAATCCCAGCTACTCAGGAGGCTGAGGCAGGAGAACTGCCTGAACCCAGGAGGCGGAGGTTGCGGTGAGCCGAGGGCGCGCCATTGCATTCCAGCCTGGGTAACAGGAGTGGAACTCCGCCTCAAAAAAAAAAAAAAAAAAAAAAAAGAAGACATAAAGCTAATTGTACCAATTCAAATACTATTGTGATCAGAACACAGAGGCTGTCTGGGTAGGAGAAAGGATGACTTTCAGAACTGGAAGGCACAGAGGTCAATGGACAAGGGAAAAAGGCAAGCCATGGAGAAATGACTTCCAGCATCCGCCAATCGAGGCGTCAGGGGAGTGTGACCCAACATTCAGTTTCTGCATACCTAGTGATGCCAAGATCCCTCTTGGGGTCCAGCAGAGGACTCCAAAACCCGACCCATTTCTTGCACCAAAGTTTAGGAAGATTTCTCCATTCCCAAACTCTGCTCTTGAAAATCAGGAACAAATTAGCTGCCTTCTTAGAGAAGCTCCCCAAATATTCCTCTCGTTCAATTTATTTTAACAAGTTCTCATTAAGGCTACTAGGTGCTGTGGGATACAGAGAAGTAAATGGCAGAGTTGTTGTTCTCAAATTCTTTTTTTTTTTTTTAATTGAGAGAGAGAGAGTATAGCTCTGTTGCCCAGGCTGGAGTACAGTGGTACAATCTCAGCTCACTGCAACCTCTGCCTCACAGATTCATTCAAGTGCTTCTCCTGCCTCAGCCTCCCAAGTAGCTGGGATTACAGGTGCACCAGCTAATTTTTTAGTAGAGGTGGGCCTTCACCATGTTGGCCAGGCTGGTCTTGAATGCTTGACCTCAGGTGATCAGTCGGCCTCAGCCTCCCAAAGTGTTGGGATTACAGGAGTGAGCCACTGCGACCGGCCTCAAATTCTTTGTAATCAGTCCTGGAAGAATCATTCTGTGGGTTGATTCGATGAATGCTGTTAGTCTCTAAGATTAAGTCATGCGCAATGCTGTCCAAATCTTGGATGCCCAGACAGGTGTGCCCTCAAGCAGCATTATTTTTTAAAGTTATTTTATTATTATTATTATTTTTGAGACAGAGTTTTGCTCTTGTTGCCCAGGTTGGAGTGCAATGGTGCAATCTCAGCTCACTGCAACTCCGCCTCCCGAGTAGCTGGGATTATAGGCATGTGCCACCACACCAGGCCAATTTTTTGTATTTTTAGTACAGACAGGGTTTCTCCATGTTGGTCAGCTGGTCTTGAACTCCTGACCTCAGGTGATCCACCTGCCTTGGCCTTTCAAAGTGCTGGGATTACAGGTGTGAGCCACCACCCCTGGCCTCAAGCAGCATTATTACCAAACACCCCGTGACCAAGAGGGAGTGGTGCTGAGAAAGGCAAGAAGATTGAGGGAAGGAGCTGCAGGTATGGTGGGATGCCAGGAGCACACAGGTTTTCTTTGGGGTGCAATCCTTTCAAGTTAACCCCTTTTCTTTTCTGGTACATTCCTTTATTTCTCTCTCAAGGAGGCCTACTCTGTACTAATAGTGATTCTCCTAATCTTTTCCCACTCACTTTCCATCCCAGGCTGAGTCTGGGAACCCTCAGCCTTCTTAGCCTAGGCGCTGCCACCACTTTGAGTCCTTAAAAGCTTTAGGCTCTGGAAGATACCCTCATACAACCAGTAGATGGCATCAAAACCTTCCACCCCCTCAGCTCAGGAACTCTCCTAAAGAACCTACTCAGATCTCTCCAGATGGGTCTACAAAAAGATATGTGAGCCGTCAACACTGAAGACAGGGTTGTGTCTTGGCTTTGCAACCCTAAGAGCTACACCATCTTAGCCAAACCGTTTAAACCTTTCTGACCCTCAGTTTTTTCATCCATAGAATGGGGCTGTTACCTCCTAAGAAGTTATTAGGGCTCACAGTCACAGAGGCGGTGTGTATCACAAGCACTGCACACAGAAGTAGCTCCATAAATGTGAGCTATTAGTAGAACTACTAAGTGAGGCTTCCCAGATTCCCACCAGGGTAGCTGATTGGTGTCCAGATAGGAGAGGGAACTGCAATGCTGAGGAGGCAGCCAGCGCTGGGTAGCACTACCCGGCCAATGCCCTTTTAACATTGCACTGCTAGTGACAGGTGCAGACAGTAGCACAATGTGAAAAGAGCTCTGGCCAGCAGCAGAGGCACGCCGGCCCTGCCTCCTCACCTTCTCCCAGTCCCTGGCCCACTCAGCTCACGGACTCCCTCTGCCCCTTCTTTACTTCAGTACAGCTCTTTCCCCCTTTTATTCTATTCTTAACTGTTAATTCTATTCCCCCCCCCCAACTCTTCCTTTTGCCTTCTTCCTCACCCCCTCCCCAGCACAGAGACCACCTTTTTCTTGG